TAAATACATTTATCTAATAGTATGTAAGAGCATATAATAGGTAAAGGCATACGATAAATAAAGGCACGCAATAAGTACAAGCATGTGACAAATAAAGGCATGTAATAAATGAAGGCATATATATATATATATAAAAAGTAGAAACATGTACCAAGTAAGAGCACATAACGAGTAGAAGCACGAAATAAGTTAAGACATGATACAATTAAAGGCATGAAATAAATTAGTACATCCCACATGCTTAAACCCATGACAATGCATATACACTCGTCACCTTACATATTGATCGTCCCCACACATAGATCATGTAGCAAATAGACCAATCACATTCTAATTTCCACAAATCAAGGTTAACCACGATATTTACCTCTTTTCGAAACAAAATCAACAATCCAACACAACATTTTCTTTAGAACAAGCTTCTAAGCCACCCAAATCTAGTCAAATGTTAATTAAATAAGTCAAAATAAACTTTAGAAACTTTCCTAATATCAAAAAAGTTTAATTTTTATCAAATTTGGAAAAGCCAACAAAAAGTCAACTCGGGACCACTTGGTCAAAATCTAAAATTATAATGACCAGACATGTCGTTTTGAGATTTACTATTTCCTTCGGCGGTTTGAAACTTTGAGTGGATTCATATAATGCATTAAGACCTGCATGTATAATTGGGTTTAATTTTCGAGAGGTTCGGAGTTGATTTGAAAAAGTGATTCTCAATTTGGAGGCTTAAGTTGGAATAGTTGACCAAAATTTAACTTTTAAGTAAACAACCTTGGAATCGGGATTAGATGGTTTCGATATGTTCGTATGGAGATTTTGGATTTGGGTATATATTCGGAATCAAATTCAGATATTCCTAGAAGGTTTTGGTTCTGTTTATCAAAACGCTGGCAATTTGAATAATTGGAGAGTTAATAGGATTGACTAGGAGTTGACTTAGGTGTTATCAGACTCATATTATGATTTTTAGACCTTTTATAGGTTCATTTGATTGATTGGAACTTGTATGCAAAGTTTGGTTGTAATCTAGAATGTCTAAATATGATTCGGACGCATTCGGCAAAGTTAGAATGTTTGAATATTAAGAGAATGATTTGACCTTCGAATCTTAATTTTTATGTTATTTGTGGTTTTTTGAGTCTTTAGATATGTTTGGATAATACATTTGGACAGGTTGGTACGATTGGACGGGCCCCCAAGGGGATCAGGTGAGTTTCGAGGTGTTTACGGACCTTTTCAGATGAGTTTGCATTGTTGGTTTTCTTATGCCTCTTATGTACTTCTCGATCGCGAGGGTTGATCGCATTCGCGTAGTATATCTGAGAAGCTGAGGTATTGGAAGATTGGTCAGCATGTTCACGTAAGAGTGCACGTATTCGCGTAGAGGAAGAACTGGGTGGGCGTGGTGCTCGTGTTCACGGACTGGAGTACACGTTCGTATGGGTTGAGATGGGTGAGCTTCGCGATCGCAAGGTCTTTTCCGTGATTGCGTTGATATTTTTGAGTCGGGGGCAAATTTCTTCTTCGGGAACGTGAATGAGGTGCCGTGTTCGCGATGTGTATACCTGGGCAGAACTTTTAAGTGTTATATTTCGGGACTTCGCCCAATATTTCATATTTTTAGCCCCAGACTTTGAGAGGAGGAGATTTTGACGAGAAATTTCACTACTACATTCGAGGTAAGTGATTTGCATTTAGATATGGCTATGTATCTTGATTCCCTATGGATTTATATACCTAAAACTTAAAATTTTTAAGTGAAATTTCAGAATTTTGCCTACAACTTAAGAGAGTGTAATTTTAGAATTTGGGGTTGATTTGGATGCGATTTTGGAATCTAATCACATATTTGGACTCATAGGATTATAAGTAATCAGGATCTTCCCCTTGACTCGGGTTTTAATTATGTATACTTGGGTTGACTTTTATTGACTTTTGTGGGTTTGATTAAAGATTGAAACTTTAAAATTGGGAATTAATTCCTATGGCTTTGTTTAACGTTATTGAGTTGTACTTAACTAGATTCGAGTCATCTGGAGTTGTATTTGAAAGGATACACGGTTTGTTGTTGATTAAAGCTTGCTAGGTAGAGGTAAGTCTCTTGTGTATCCTTGTAATAATAAATTCTCTCCATAAGTGATCTATTTGCTACTTGTTGCTTCATATAGAAGCTACGTATATGCGGGCTGACGAGCGTATATGTGTAGCTAGGTTATGACCATATTCAATAAATATTTGGCTTATGATTATGCCTTGTTTGGATTATGTAAAGTCCTTATTCAAGTTTAGTTGATTCTATAACTATGTGATGACTTGAAATTGTGGCTTTGAAGGATGCTTAAGGTTATGACTTGTTAAATTGGGTATAAACTATTGTTTGCCACATTGAGCTTTTTTGTCGAGTTGTAGGCATATACTTATTTTAGTGATTGATGGTTCGATGGGTAAATGGCTTATCTCATTGATGATAAATATTAAGATAAGACTTTTAAACAATGTAATTGCTTATTGAATCGTTGAAATAAATTGAACTACATGATTACCCATAGCCATCTTTTAGCCTTAATGTGCTTTTATCTACAATTCTATTATTATGACTCGATGCCTTTTATTATATTGCCTCTTACATATGTCTATGAGTTATAGAGTTGAATATTATGAAAAGATGAGAATTTTGGCACCACAGAAATTATGAGTGGATATTGATTACTGATGATATTGTGTGGATCAGGTAGCATGCCGCCATGGGTTTGTGTGTGTGGATCGGGTGGCATGCCGCCACGGGTACATGTGTGTATTGGGTTGAATGCCAAAATGTTATTATATGTGGATCGGGTGGCATGGTGCCACGACACTTAGATTGGTACCATCTCTCCGAAGGTGATTACCCATATTACCTTGGTCCCTCTAAGTGCAGGCACTTGATATGTTCTTATTGAGGGACTTATGTCAGGCACCAACAATGCTGAGTATGTGTCATGATTCAGGGGCATTCCGCCAGGCACCATGAGAGTGTTGAGAATATGTTTGAGAGGTACTTGTGCCAGGCACTATGAATCTATCGAGATTGGGTATACTTGATGATTTAACTGTGATATTGTTAATTTGGACATATGAATATGGCATGCAGGTATACAGTTATAATTTTCCTTAAGCTAATTGGTATTGATGTGTCACGGTTTGGACCGTGACTCTAAACTTTAAAGCAAAACATGGATATTATTAGAACTAGGCCCTCCCAGTAGGAAGTCCGAATGAGAACTAATCTAGATTTATATATATAATTAAGTTTTTAGCCTTTGTTATTTGATCCCTAGTTTTTCTTATTTTCAATCGAGTCCTTCTATTTTGGCTAGCGGAGGGTTGTACACGTGTCATAGGTCGTACAAGTTTGTTAGTTGTAAATAGTTTTTTTAGTATTTAGGGAATATTGCCTTGTATTTTGGAGTTATCTGATGAATGAAAAGATAATTTATCTTTTTTCTGTATTTTCTTCCTTTAATTTTAGTTATTGATTTCCTTCTCATGGCGATTCCGACGTTGGAATCGCTACATTTGGTATCAGAGCAGACAATTCTCGGTTGTTCGTCGGTGTTAATGGCAGAGACCGGTGTAAGGTTGAATCAATTGGAGCAACAAATTCAAGCTTTTATGGAAAGTTCAAACAGAAAACTGCAGCATATAGAATAATGGTATCAAAATCGTTTGCGGACCTTCCATAGTTCAGAAAACTAGTATAACCTTTAAAGGTCGGAGTGTGAGCAGCGGGTTTCCGGCGACCCGTGTGTATATCATCAGTACCCTGGCATAAATCCAAGTTTTTATTGAGATTCCTATGGTGATTTCACCGGTGGATTCACTAACCCAATGAATGGAGGATGGAATTACCTCGATTCACCCACAAGTGCTTACTCTTCCCAGATTCCATGTGCTTAACATATTGGTAATACAAATCTAGGTTTTGATTTCATTCAGTTCGGCGATGGTTCGGTGGTGTCAATGACTAGTGCTGGGAAATAGAACTTGCTTAACTCTAGATATGGGTATTTTGAGAACAAAATGCCGGAAGTGTATTACCCATGTGTTTAGCCTCTGTTCATTTTGTGTACAAATTTAGAGAGTTTACTTGGGAAAATTTTCTACTTTCTTCATTGATCCTTTTACTGTACAAAGAATGTCTATTTATACAAATATTCCTAGCTGAGAGACAAGAAGATGACAAATGAAATACTGTACACTTGTAAGAATTCTACTAGTCTAATCATAACAAATAACTAACTAATATTCTCTATACGTGTGAATTTCCTTATCTGTATAGGAAGCTTCCAGAATTGTGAAGCTCTTTATTATTCCCAAATGAATGACCAGGATTTAATCCATCACAAATGTTTTTGTTTCTTGAGATGGGGACATGTGTCTCAGTCCTTGATTTCCTTTTGAGACCAGATTGAAAGTCATTTGTTTTCTCTACCAAATATTCTGACTTTCTCTTCTTTTCTTCATTTTCATTTGCTTTCTTCTTCTTCTTCTTCTTCTTCTTCTTCTTCTTCTTCTTCTTCTTCATGAATGAAAACACATTGAGACCTGAAATCAAGAGATCGATTCCCAACATCCCCCCTCAAGTTGGAGGGGAACGAAGAGAGACCCAACTTTCCAAGGATTGATCGATGTGAAGGCCTAGAAAGGGGTTTGGTAAACAAATCAGCAAGTTGTGATTTTGAAGGCCAACACGAAAGGGATATGAGACCAGACAGAAATTGTTGTCTCATAAAGTGACAGTCAAGTTCCACATATTTCGCCCGTTCATGGAATACGGGGTTTCGTGCAATATGTATGGATGCCTGACTATAGGAAAATATAGGAACCGGAATTGGGGGTGGTATAGACAGATTTGCAAGAAGGCGGGTAAGCTAAGTGAGCTCAACCACTAAACGCTGCATGGAACGATACTCAGCTTCGGCGGAGGAAAGGGAGATAGAATCTTGCTTTTTGGATTTTCATGAGACCGGGGATCCCTCTAGGCTGATAAAGAACCCACTGATAGACCGACGAGTATCACGACAGGAGGCCCAGTCAACGTCGCAAAAAACCAAAAGAGAAAGAGAGGGCTTTGAATTCAGAAGCAGCCCCTGCCCTGGATTAGTGCGGAGATAACAAAGAACTCGGAGAGATGTTATGAAACGATCAAGACAAGGCTTTTGCATGTATTGACTTAGAGTTAAAACAGTAAAAGAAAGGTCGGGTCTTGTATGTGTCAAGTAATTTAACTTGCCAACAAGACGCCGATAAATTGAAGCATCTGCTAGGGATGAACTGGAGCTAGTTGTTAGTTTGAAAGAAGGATCAAGTGGAGAAGACACCATGGAGAGACGGGAGCAATAAAACTCAGATAGTAAGTCTTCTATAAATTTCTTCTGAGTAATGATAAAACCATCTTGTTCTCGTAAGATTTCCATGCCTAGGAAGTAGTGTATTAATCCAAGATCTTTAATTTTGAACTCTGAATGAAGAAAAGCCTTGAGTTCTGCTAATTCAGTAGGATGATTGCCAGTAATTAAGATATCATCAATGTAAACTGCAACAATGGAAATAAAATCCCCTGTCTTTTAAAAAAATAGAGAATAATCATTAAGAGAAGAAGAAAACCCTTTGAAACTAAGAGCCCCTACATACCACTGCCTTGAGGCTTGTTTGAGGTCATAAAGCGATTTCTGTAAATTGCAAACATGATAAGGGCTAGGAGGGGTCAGACCGGCAGGGAACTTCATGTATACTTCCTCCTGCAGGTCTCCATGTAGAAACGTATTGTTTACATCAAATTGTGAAACATCCCACCCTTTCTTGACATTAATAGACAGTAGACATCTAATGTTGGTCATTTTGACCACCGGAGAGAAAGTTTCAGTGTAGTCGATGCCTTCCCTTTGAATGTCTCCTTTGATAACTAGACGAGCTTTCAGCCTTTCAATACTATCATCAACATGTTGTTTGACCTTATAAACCCATTTACAGGGCAAAGCTTTCTTCCAGATGGAAGAAGCACAACCTCCCATATTTGATTTGCCTCTAAGGCAGCTATTTCTATGTCCATGGCTTGCTTCCAACCTGAATGAGAACAAGCTTGGGTATAGCTTGTAGGTTCTGTGATATGAGAAAGAGAGTGATAAAGATGTTGGTTATGTGGGGATAGGGCAGTGAAGGCAAGATTTTGAGGAGAAGAGGGTGTGGCAAGACAAGAGCTGGTTAAATCAATGACATAGACATTGTTACAAATGTAAGTCCTTGAGATAACTAAGTTGAGTGCCTAGGTTGGTTCTGGCAGATCTTCTCAAAGATATGGTAGGAGTAGAAGATGGAGGAGCAAGGGAAGACATAGGGGTAAAGGATGAGGAAGGTGAAAGCATAAGAGAATGAGAGAAAATAGGAGTAGGAGAGGTAGGAGATGTTGGTGCAGGAGCAAGCATGTTGGGAGGTGAAAAACTAGGTATGTTGGTTGTAAAAGGTTCAGATATGGGATAAGTAAGGGGAAATAAAGGTGGGGAGGTACTGGAATTGAAGGAAAAGGGATAAATATTTTCATGAAATTGGACATCCCTAGATACAAAGACCTTTTTAGTGTCTAAATCTAGAAGTGTATAACCTTTTTGGACACTAGGATATCCCAGAAATACACAAGCCCTTGCCCTAGGTTCAAATTTATCCCTATGATGAGATAATGTGGAGGCATAATATAAACATCCAAAGCATCTTAGGAAATGATAGGAAGGTTTCTGATTAAAAACCAGTTCAAAGGGAGTCTTTTCTTGTAAAACTCTAGAGGGAAACTTGTTTATGAGAAAGGTAGCAGTGAGAATACATTCTCCCCAATAACAAATAGGCAACTTAGATTGGAACAATAATGTCATAGCAATCTCCAATAGGTATCTATGCTTCCTTTTGACAATACCATTCTGTTGAGGGGTACCCACACATAAGGTTTGATGTAAAATGCCATGTGATTTGGAAAAAAATATTGATGTCCCTGTACCTAATTCTAAGGCATTATCAAACCTTATAATTTTGACTTTGGTACCAAACTGTCTTTCCACCATGCTCAAAAACCATTTCAAGACTGATAATGCATTGCTCTTAGTACTTAGCAAGTAGGTCCAAGTTGCCCTACTGAAATCATCGACAATTGTTAGAAAGTATATATCTCCATTGTAAGTAGGGGTTTTGTAAGGACCCCAAGTATCAATGTGAATTAGGTCAAATATGCCTTTGATTTTGATGTGACTGAGAGGCAAGGGTAATCTGGACTGTCTAGCCAAAGGACATACATCACAATAACAATGAGAATTATATGAGAATGAAATGGAACTAATATGTTTCACTTCATTTAAAGGTAAATGCCCAAGTCTAACATGCCATAACCTTACATCATAATCTGTTTTTGCTGAAATTGGTAAAAGTACTAAAACTAAACTAGAAAGACAACTCTTAAAAGATGAAAATGGAGTCTAGGTAGAGTGATCCTTAGATAGTGTCCTATGAGGCTCCAATAGGTAGAGACCCTCCTTAGCTTCACCAAAAACTTGAGGGATCTTCAGAAGAGGCCCCTGCAAAATGCATCCAAAAGAAGTGAAAATCCAGAAACACTTGAATGCCTGGCAAAGTCTATTTACTGACAAAAGATTATATCTGAAACTGAGAATGTGAAGAATACCTTTTAGTGTAAGACCTGGGAAAATAGAAACACTACCAGTATGTGTAACTTTTACCCTTGTTGAATTAGGCAGCTTGACCATTAGAGGAACAGGAAGAGGTAAATGAAACAAGAAAGACTTGACATTATAACACATATGCTGAGAGGCCCCTGAATCTATGATCCAAGAGATAGAATTAGAGTTAGCTACTAAATAACATGAGGGACAGTTTGTAAGAAATATACCAGCTGCTGAATTTGCACTAACTTCTAAAGAACCTGATTGTCCCACTTGAATATGATTCAAAAGTTGGACTAGCTGAGTAAATTTATCTGGGGAAAGTTGCTGGGCAAATTAAGGTCCCTCAACTGAGTTGCTTTGAATTCCCTCCAGTTGTTCCATTGTTGTAGCAGAATTCCCTTTTGTAGTTCCTTGAAACTTCTTTGGCTTAGTGAATTTGAAATCAGAGGGAAAACCTATAAGCCTATAGCAATTCTCAATAGTGTGATTGGTCATCTTGCAGTAGGAACATATCTGATCGTTTTTCTTGCCTTTGTAATTGTTGTTTCCGTTGATTGAATTGTGTCCAATTTTATGCTGAGAGTTAATGTGATTTTCTCTGTTGATTTGAGTGTTCTGATGTCCTGCCATGACAGAAGATCCATCTCCTAAAAACTGTGAGGTCACATTCACTTCTCTTTGATTTTCATCTTGCATCAGTAGTGAGTAGGCATGGTTTACACTAGGCAAATGGTTGATCATGAGAATATTACTCCTTGCTTGAGCATAAATTTCATTCAAACCGATTAGGAATTGAATGAGCCTTTCATCATTCTTGAACTGCATCATTTTGTGTTCTCCTCCACGGTTATAGTTGCATAAACACTGAATATTAGTGCTGAGAGTGTCAAGTTCATCCCATAGACACTTGAGTTTAGTGAAATAGCCTGCAATGTCTGTTTAACCCTGAACTAAGTCAGCTAATTCCTTTTGTAGGTGGTATAATTTTGCACCATTGGGTTGTCCAAATCTGTGTTCCAGATCAGTCCAGAGGTCTTTTGCTGTTTTGGAATACAAAACACTATCAACAATCCTTTTGGTGAGGTAGTTTAGTAACCAAGATATTACCATATCGTTGCACCTATTCAAGATTTTCAAATCTGGGTGAGTTATGACTGGGGTAGGACAGGATCCATCAATAAAACTCAGCTTGGTTTTGGCTGAAAGGGAGAGAAGGATGGACCTACTCCAACCTTGATACCCACGACCATCAAAGGGAATGCTTACCATGACCATTCCAGGTGTATCAGAAGCATGAAGAAAATAAGAATGAGTTGAATCAACAAGAGTTGGAAATCCAGTCCCTGTTGAGGTTTGAGTGACATTAGTCAAATCTGAAGACATGATGTTATGAAGAAAATGAAGAACTGTGAATCAGAAAAGAAAAGAAGGGACGAATCAATAGAAGAATTTCTACTGCTCTGATACTATGTAGAAATTTAGAGAGTTTAATTGAGAAAATTTTTTGCTTTCTTCATTAGTCCTTTTATTGTACAAAAAATGTCTATTTATACAAATATTCCTAGTAGAGAGAAAAGAAGATGACAAATAAAATATTGTACACTTGTAAGAATTCTACTAGTCTAATCATAACAAATAACTAACTAATATTCTCTACACGTGTGAATTTTCTTATCCGTGTAAGAAGCTTCCAGAATTGTGAAGCTCTTTATTATTCCAAAATGAATGACCAGGATTTAATCCATCACAAATGTCTTTGTTGCTTGAGATGGGGACACGTGTCTCAGTCCTTGATTTCCTTTTGATACCAGATTGAAAGTCATTTGTTTTCTCCGCCAAATATTCTGATTTTCTCTTCTTTTCTTCATTTTCATTTGCTTTCTTCTTTTTTTATTCTCCTTCATGAATCAAAAGACATTGAGACCTGGAATCAAGAGATTGATTCCCAACATTTTGACTAAACCCGAATCTGGAAAAATTAAATACGAAAGGGTCACTTTCTTAAGGATCGAATCAGATTCAAGTATCAAAAAGGTGGAGATCTAGGTCAAAGATGTACCCATGAAAATTGAAGGTGAAAATGTAGATAAGGTGTTTGCTGAAATCTTCAATGATTTTAAATCACTACCCATTGTTTCCATGAGCATCCCAAACTCAATTTCTTTGGAACCAAGTGACGAAGATAAGGATACACCAAGAGAAAATATAGTCGAGTTAGAAGATGAAAACAAAACCTCGGATATTCCTTATTAAGATGCATCCACATAGGTTAAAGTTGAGTATGAGGAACATTCAGAAAATAAGGAAGGAAAGATGTTCGATGAATATCCTCAATGGGATGTAGCTGGATTTCCATATGCACTTCGCTCAGAGAGAAAGGATGCGGAAGAGAGTTCTGTGAAAATTGCCTCACAAGTCTTAGAGCATGATTTTTGCTTGACCTTTGATGAGAAGAACAGAAAACGCTTGAGCAAGGCTAGTGTTAGTGAAAAAATGGAGATTGTTGATAAGATTGGTACTATTTCAAAAGCTAGAATTCTCTTGGCAAGTCCTCATGTTTTCTCGTTTGTGCCGAAAATATGTTTAATGAATTCTGTATGTAGTTTTGGTCATTTCCTTGCTTCAAATATTGGTTTGAAGTCTAATGGGGTCATTGACTTCAAGTTTAATGGGATCATAAAGAGTTCTATATTAAACAAGTACTACAAAGGTGGAGATATGGGGATCACTAGAGAATTATTTGATGAAATATTGCCTTGGGTGTGTGGGAATACTATTCTCATTGAGTTGGATGTTGTTAAGCTTTGGATCTATAATCCAAATCTAAGGGAACTTTTTCCTGAACTAAGGAAATAAAGCATAGAACATGATCTTGATCGAGTCAATTGGTGGCTACAATTTAACTTTGGCATAGACATATGTAGTTCATTTGACACAGGACATTGATTCTGAAGGTATAGAGTCCAAACTAGAGACACCAAGTATAGCATACATTGACCTGTCTATTAAAATAACTTAGGATCTTAGCATTGATGTCGAGTTCTCTGAATTTGGACGTCCCTTTTCTTATTGTCTTGCTAAGGACCGAGTATTTTCGGAGATTGCTAATAGTGATATTTCTTCAACTATACAAGTGAAGATAAGGCTTGCCAAATTGGAAAAAATAATGCATTCTTACCTGAGTGGCTTGAAAGTTGATGTATCTCTAAATTACAGAGAGTTTCTCAACTACATCACTAGGGTGAAAAAAAAAGGATCCATTTCTTGGGGGTGATAAAAATGCATATTGGAATTCTCTTTTGATTGTATAGATTAGTGAGGGTTTCTAGGGGATAGTTACTATGAAT